ATGAGAGTCCCTACAGTCTAACAGCATCACCAGGGATGACACGCACAAGCACACACACACACACACACACACACACACACACACACACCCTGGGCAGATGCGTGGTGAAAGAGAGGGATCGTCTCAGAGGGTGCAGCAGAGACATGCTGAGGAAGCTGATATGCAAGAAAATCTGCGACCGTAAGAGCGACGCCTTTTTAATCTCTCCTTCTTCCCTCCCTCTCTGCTCTCTTCTCCGTTTGGCTCTCAGTGATTTCCGTCTCTTTGTCCGTCTTATCTTCCAGTCATGGCTCTGAATTGTCAGGATCTCTTTCCTGTGTCTCCCTGTCCTCCACCTGTGTTCTCTGTGAATCTGTGAGTTGCTGTGTCACCGTCATGGTTCTTGTAGCAGCAGGGACATTTAGGGAGCTGGCTTTTTTGTATGACCTTATCACTGTTCTGTGATCTTTTGTATTATTGATCAAGTTATGTGACTCCATTGATGTTTATGTGCCGCTAATGGTAGCAGACTTTATTCCTTAACAACAGTTTATACTAAGCCTATCTGCAGGAATGATAATAAATATATTGAGTTATTGATTAGTTTTAAATCAATTATTTCCTACATGTCCTTCAAAAAATAGACAATGACCTCGTTGTTGCCTGGCCTCAGCTGACAACAATCCCCCCCGCACCGTCACTCCGCTCCAGGCGACACCTTGGTGTGAACGTCCTGTTGAGCAGGTGACTGAGGGGAGGCATGTTGGATGGATGGATAGATGAAGGTTGAATGGATTCAGAAACACAACCGGACCGTTTCCCTGAGGCAGAGGTCAGGAACACAGTGACTGGCAGATTAAAGAGAGCAGAATGGTGATGCATTCACCATCCGCCCAACCGTTACCAGGAACAACATGTGTTCATGGATGATGGGGGAATAAGGATGTATTGATCCTTACAGGAAATATCGCTCACAGTCATCGAGACATCACTTTGAAAATCCCATCATCAAATCTCTCTTTTCTCCCTCTGTGGTTGCAGATAAGAATTTTGAGGATGAAGACTCAGTGGATGGAGGCCGGTCCTCCTCCTCTTCATCATCCAAAGCACCCCCCGGTGGCAGGAGGACGGTTATCAGCTCTGTGCGAAGACCCAGCTCAGCCTCCGCAAATAAGCCCACAAGTGAGGGATACACACAGCTGCAATGTGATTACTGTCATTACTGTTCAACAAAGTCATAGGGACAATATTAATACTGTCATTTACCTCCTGTATAATCCATGTAGTAATGTTTGGCTGCATTTTGATCAGGTCAAGACTTTCCTTCTGCTTCAATCATTCATATTATTTCAGGAATTGTTTTATTAAGCCAAATAATATTAAACCTATAGCATATTTTTTCAAAGCTTATTTAAATATTTTTAAAATAATATTAATTTACATTCGCAATACTCAAAAAGACAATGTGAAAGATCTAGACAGGTATTTTAAGATTGGACCGAACCAAACATCAAAAATCAAAAAGAAAAAATACACTTAAGAATAAAGAACAATACAATTAAATCCAAAAAACACAACAAATGGTTATATACAAAATAAAAAAGGACAAACAATAACTCAGATTAGGCTGGCTAGTCACATGTCTACCTTCTACCTTTCTAAACCTTTACATCTCTCTTTAGAAGGGCTGACGAATTTCAGGTCTAATTCTTTTTTCTTTCTCTTTTTCAAAGGCAAGGAAGCAGCTGCTGGTGCTGTTGATGAGGACGATTTCATCAAAGCCTATGAAGACGTGCCCTCAATCCAGGTATGCCATGCCTGTTTGGTTCTGTTAGTCAAATCCAGAGATGGCTGACAGGGAAGTATATTATGCCATAAGATGGATTTAAACACACTATGGGCGTAGGGCGGGGGTGTTCAAACTACGGCCCGGGGTCCAACTGCGGCCCCGTGGTCCGTTTTTATTGGCCAGTAGCAAATTCTGAAAGTGAAATGGAATATTCCCCACCACATGCAACTTGTGCTTGTCTTATATTGTACATCTTAAATATATATGTACGAATACATTACACAGTATTCATGTTTGAATAAGCCTTATTTTCAAGACAAATCTTAGTTGATAAAAAAAGCCCTAAAACTATTTACATAACACACTTGAAATGTACGCTTCCTATTCCCCCTGATTATAAACAATCTGAGGCTTCTGTTTAAGGAATGAGCTGCAATACTTTTTGTAACAAAATAAATGAAACCCTAGTGGCCCCTGGTGTAGGGTAACCAGGGGCCCTGCGCTATGCAGGACTGCACAGCTTATCATCCCACCTATTGACACAATGTGCCGCATTTTGATTTGATTTCCTTTTTTTGAAGTCAAACCACTGCATGAAACTAGCTTTTCTGATATCTTGCCTTTATTTTGAAATGCTGTGAAGAGAGAGGGAAGGCTGTCAATCAAGCAGTGACAGATGAACTGCAGGTTCACCTGTCAGCGTCTATACCCTGACCAACTGGGAACATAGGGAATCACCACAAAGGGACAAGCTATGCAAATTAGGCGCAATCTAATGGAAACAAAGAAAAGGAAATGCAGCTACAACAAAAACACGGACTCTACTTATAACTATGTGAAGATGGTTAAAAGATTCTCAGTTTTTATGAGCAATTTAGTTGTTTTTCTATGACATGAAGCAACCCAGAAAATAATGTTTCTGATAGGCTTCTTGTCAACTGAAATTGATCTCTCTGTATTAGTTGCATCCTGGATTGTTCCGAACAAACATCATCTTTATTCCACTTCTGATTTGTGGGATCTTAACACACTAAGTACGCATTATGCAAGAACCACTTATGACCACAAACACAATGAACACAAATGAAATGCTTCTTGCTATGTATGTTAACGTGGTAGCAGCTAAAAAGACCCACGTTACAATTGTTAGGCATCTATTTATGCCACCGATTGAAGTTCACAAAATTGCATTTACTCACACACAGCTCGCATCCACCATTTAGTCAATCAATCAAAGTGTATATAGCCCAATATTACACATTTTAATTTGTATCATGGGGCTTTACAGTTTTTAACATTGAGCTACAGACTTGGAGCATTTATATGTTGTGAACTCTAACCAGCTGCCCTCTCTCGAACCGTAACCTTGAAAGTATACACAATACAGTATAGAAGAGCTGATTCTTGTTCTAACACTGTCCCTCCTGTCTCTCTGGGTCCAGATCTACTCCAACAGAGAGCTGGAGGACCATCTGGCCAAAATCAGAGAAGTGCTTTCTGATGAAAAACACGACTGGGAGCTCCGGGTTGTAGCGGTAAGACTCAGACACACACACATACACACACAGGGTGTTACATGAATCCAGGTAATGAATACCCTCCATACCCGCCTTTGTCTCTCCTCCAGCTGAAGAAGGTGCGTTCTCTCCTGATGGCGGGGGCCACAGAGTACGAGGGCTTCCCTCAGCAGCTGCGTCTCCTGGAGGCTCCGCTCAAGCTGTCGGCCAAAGACCTGCGCTCACAGGTGGTGCGCGAGGCCTGCATCACACTGGGGTGAGAGGAGGATGTACTATCCCGTCCACGTTTCTAAACCACACAAGATCTGCCAACAGTTCAAATATTTGTAACTATTTCGTTTTGGACAAAAATGAAACATAAACCAAAAGTGTGCGTCTGTCAAACATAGGATCAACTCGTCGCAACTTTATTGAGTACAACTTTGAATAAGCACTTATTTACTTGCCTTCACTGCTCAGCTGCGGGTACACTTCAGTCAGCCTACTAACAAACTCTAACTAATTATCAACCCCAAACAAGACGCGTTCTTCTTCCACTGCTTCTTCTCTTGTTTCCTGACAGGTGTTTCCTATCTAAAGCCCTCTTCCCCATCTTCCTCCTTAACTAAAGTTCAGGGTTATAGATTAGGAATTCTCGTGCATGATAGAATCTGCAGTTAATGAGAGCTAGGCACCAAGGTGATAAAGTTTTGCTTTGTTTTTTTTTATTATTATTTTGGAATCTTAATGGTTTATGTAGCAACTTCAGGAACAAACGAAATAAGTTGCTGATAGTCTGAGGTCGGTACAAAAAGCTATGAAAGCTGTAACCATCTGGTGTCTTGGCAGCGTTTTCTTAATGGCTTTGATTGACAGCCGAGATATTAACTTCTCTAAATGATTCAGCTATGCCAGGAAAACATTTAGAATATTTTCTTTCCAGAAAATTAAGCTAATGAACATGAGCCCTGCTCGGGTATGAAACGAGCAGCATGCTCTCCATCCAAAAACATCCGTCATCCAGATTTGAATAACACCCTGATGAGATGGAACCGAGCGCAGACACACAGAAAGAGCAGCAGGTTGATGAATGGATTCATGGATCCAATCATCACGTGTAATGTCACCACGCTGTTCGCCTGTCAATCCTGTGCTTCATTCCCAAGATCAGGAAGGAGTGGTTTTTTTTCTAGAAAGAGACAACTGCCAAACTGTTGTTTTTATTATTATAATATGTATTTATTGAACAAGGACCGTGCATACAAACACATTGTACATACAGAGATGCTATATTCCAGATTATAGCTAAAAGCTAATTTCCATCTGCAGTCCCTGGTCAGGAGCACACATAACAATCAACACACATTCAAACATGTCATAGTGCCTATAACACTATCAATTCAAACAGATCAAATTACAGATCTATAAAATATACATACTAGGACATTGGTCAATATAAATATCATTTGACAATTTATTTAAACTAACATCTCAAATTACACTAAAATAAATGTTGGCAAGACTGGTTGCCCAAAATACATGTTAAGATCAGCTGGAAGCATATTCAAATGTGTGATGGCCGTAAAAGAGAAAGCAGACAAGGGCAAATGTAGTGCGCCCCAGTGGGGAGTCAAATCTGCGTTTAGGGCAGATCATGAGGTTCCGCCCATTTGTTCAGAGCAGAGCTGGAAGAAGCTTCTCAATGGTGGTGTGCTTTACCTCTCTGTGCTATGTTGAACTTTAATTTCCTCACTATTTGCACGTCACGCCTTAGTTAAAACAGGAATATGGAAAGGGTCAGGGCCATTTAACACACCTGCCACAGTCCTGTTTGTCTTGTGAAAGAGAAAATATATAACACATCACCATGAACGGATCATCTTTCGGGGTGAACACACTTCTTTAACACCACTCTCTTCCCCTCTTCTCCCTCTGGCAGACACTTGTCTTTGATACTGGGAAACAAGTTTGACCACGGAGCAGAGAGCATCATGCCCACGCTGCTCAACCTCGTGCCCAACAGTGCCAAAATCATGGCCACGTCCGGAGTGGCCACCATCCGCCTCCTCCTCAGGGTAAGCATCCAGAGGGGGGTGTGGTTCTCCAGACCGCCTGTTCATTTTCCATTCAGCCTTATTAGACCCTACGTCATCATCATGTGAGGACAAGATCATTGTAACTAGAGATGAACCTTGCTTTTGAACTTTTTCTTCCAGCGCACACACTACCCACGTCTCATCCCCATCATCACCAGTAACTGCGCCGCCAAATCAGTGGCAGTCCGACGGTAAGAGGACAATAATGCTACTACAGTAATAAGGAATCTACACTACATAATGAAATGTCATTTTTATTTTTTTAATTCTGTTCTTGTTCAGTCTATAGCAGATCAGCAAGAATTAGTTGGTAGGAAAATGACCAACTATTTTTTATAATCTTAATTTGCAGCCCTAGTGTAAAGAACAAATCCATCTTTCACATCCTCCCTGCAAATACAGGCGTGTTATGCTGTGTGTGCTGCATTGCTTTAATAAACTGACATGTACATATAAAAGTGTTTTTTATAGCGGCACTTCTCACGTTATATATCCTGTGTCATGGTGTTTCTGTGTCTTTCTCCCCTCTGCAGACGCTGTTTTGAGTTCCTAGACCTCATGTTACAGGAGTGGCCCACTAACACATTGGAAAGGTAAGCCGTATTCCTCTTCAATTCAAATAACATTTAGGTGTTTAACAATCATAAGAGCAAGACAGATATAAATGAGAGGGGTTGGAAAAACTTAAGAAAACAAAAACATTTGAATAACGTATTCAAATAAAATGATTCAATGAGTCCAAACATAGAGTGACAATGACTGTAGGTCAGCAAATGACAGCCTGAATTCAGTATCATCCAGGAACAGACACCACATCTTCACCACCTGTCAGCAGAGCCATAAACCTTAGTTTATCTACTTTTAAGGGCTTCTTTACAAACATAAAATGTGGCTTGGCGTTTTCCCAGTCTAAGTGAACTAGGCTGCATGTTAACAAAAGGATATCTTGTAATACGTTTCTCTAAGAGGAGTATGTCCTGCTGGATGTTGAATGTTCCAATCAAATTCTCTCACTATTTGTATTACTAAAAACATATTTGCTGTTTTCTCCAAAAGCACCATAGCACTTGGAAAGCCCGCAGTGTGTGTCAAATGGATAAAGTGGTGAAGGTTATGTGTTTGTTTGTGGGGTGGAGGTAAATGCCTCTTCATCTTCCTCCTCTGACATGATGGCATTTGAGTTGGCTAACATTTGCGTTAGCTGTTGGTTGGATGCACCACTGATTAGGCCCGTTCAATTGATGAGTCCTGAGAGAACCATCATCATCAGGACCCCCAGTGATAAGGCGACTTTCCATCACTGTAACCATGACAACCTCCGCAGAGTCTTCAAAAACCTTGTGAAAACCCCTGTGGGTGGGCACTCTGCCTGTGGACCGGCAGAGGAATAAAAGAGGGAGAGGAAGGAGAGAGATTCTCAGGACTTTAGCTTTTGAGGTCTTATCTGGACTTCGTCCTGCTTGTCTCCTCACTATGTTCCTTTACTACCCCAGACACGTGGCGGTTCTGACTGAGACCATCAAGAAAGGCATCCACGACGCTGACTCTGAGGCCAGATCCATCGCAAGGAAGTAAGTGTCATCGCACCGGGACTGACTTTGGTTTGTTTTTGTTTGATGAGACAACCAACTTATGAATCATTTAAAATAGGAGTGTGAGTTGCAGAGTGCTGGAGATATCCACTGGAGAGATGTCTGCCTTCTCTTAGAGTGGAACGTTAGTGCAATAACCCTGCAATGTGCAATATAGACACTTTTTTAAAGTGCTGTGCAATAATCACTTGTGTTAAAGACATACATTGCCAACATTTGTTTGTATTCTATTATTACTATATTTAATAAGTTAGCTTACTCTTTATTATTGCTTGTCTATTTGTACCTGCTTAGCCACTTGTGCTGTAACACTCTGCATTTCCCCACTGGGGACGAATACAGGAATTTTGATTCTGATTCTTCATGACCTGGTTGTTCAAGATAATATGAGCAGGAACTACTTTCTTTATACTCAACTATACCACACAACTCTAACACCACAAAAGGAAGCGTGCATCCACCTCAGAGAAACATTAAACTACTCTGAACAAAGCTTGTGGATTATCTTCAGTAACTGGGTCATGATCTATTGAAAGAGACACTCCTGTGGAATTTTTCAAATGTATTCTGTTTTGATCACCACATGCACATCTTGGTGTATTATATTAAAGAGAAAGACAATATCACCAATACTCAGCATCTCACACCAAAGCAACTTGGATGTATGAAGCACTACAGGTAAGAGGAAATGTCTTTTTATTTTGGGTAAACTTTCCCTGTTAAAATCTGTCTTTCTCTTCCTCCCCTCGCCCTCACCTGTAGATGCTACTGGGGTTTCCATGGTCACTACAGCCGGGAGGCGGAGCACCTGTTCCAGGCGCTGGAGTCGCCCTATCAGAAGGCCCTGCAGTCCCACCTGAAGGGCTCTGACAGCATCGTGTCTCTGCCGCAGTCTGACCGCTCGTCCTCCTCCTCCCAGGAGAGTCTGAAGTAAGAACTGTGATACTCTCTTACTCTCCCATCCCTGTCTCCTGTGTTCCATCTGCACTCTCTGTTCCACCATGTTTCCATATCTCTATCCACCTTTTCCTATATTCTGGACGTTTGCATCTATTTGCTGTAATTGATTGGAGGAATGGATTAATGCTAATCTGTTTTATTGAATATGTCTGTGAGACATGGGTAATTATTATCAGACGGGCTGCAGACCCAGCAACATGCATACACACTCTTGGATCGACTGCTGTCATTTACACCGTTTATAGACTCCTTATGGAGCGTGTTGACTAATGACATTATACGCAATCCATCAGGACTGCAGGTGTGTGTTCATCAGTGTGTGTGTAAAGCTAACGTTTTTATGAGACAGAGTTGTACATGACCCTCTTATCATAATTATATTTACAAAAAATTCCCTTGTGGAAGACCTGTGAGGCAAATTATAAAACACATATTTCTGGTGATCCGGTTTCTGAGTTTGATCTGAATAGATTTCTTTGACAGGTAAACATTGTTCCTGACAGGATAATCTTTTCAAATGTCTTAACTTTGTTTCTATATGTTTTCAATCCATACATTTCACATTCATACCTCATATGAATTGTTCTTGACCTATACCTGTCTACTGTTGTCAAATGCTCATTTGATTAGAATATGATCTACATAAAGGCTAATTAGTGTTAATGTTTTTGTTTTTCAGCCGGCCACTGTCTGTGAAGAGTGTCATTGGAGGGAGCATGACAAGGAGTAAGACACCTCCTGACTTTCTATCTGTTGGGGTGGGGTTTCCTCTGAAGTAATAAGCACACTGGAAGAATTAGGCTCTAGTGTGCTTAAGTTGGTATAGATAAGGCACTAAGTGACATGCTCTCTTGATCAAGACCTTGTACCTTTATTTACCCCGAGTCAGACGGCAGTATCATTCCTGTTTATTTGCAGAGCTGAATTATTCTATTTACCAATGCAGTATGAATCCAATTTGAAAAAATAATAATATTTGAGGGATCAAAAGAAAGCTAAAATATCCTGATGCTGATTTATAAAAGTCTGAATGTATGGTTTGTTGAGCCTGGTCTTAAGAAGACAAGCTAACAACATTTCAATTGCTTGTTTTATGAATAGATATCAGATCGTTGTAGCTCTTATCAATTCTCAAAAAATGTCCTTAATTAGGAATGAATAGGTTTATGTGAATAGATACCTATATACACTAATCTATTTGTGTGTTTGTATTGACTTGGCGAAACGTGTGGTATGTGCTTGATGAGAAAACACAACCTCCAGACTGTTGTCACAGTTGTTGTTCTACAGTCTCATAGCAGATGGCTCAGAAACTCCTCCTGTGTTGCTCTTTGGTGGCAGTAAAAATTAAAAAAAGGAGTTATATGTAAGTGATGCAGGATGCTTAAACAGCCTCAGTGATATGAGTCTTCATGTGTGTGCTGTTGTAGGTAAGCTGGTGGGCAGCAGGGTGTCTCCTTCATCAGGTTCTCTCCAGCGTTCCCGTAGTGACATCGACGTTAACGCCGCCTCCAGCTCAAAGTCCCGTCTGTCCACCGTACCTGCCTCCTCGCCCTTCAGTTCTGCAGCGGCCCTCCCCCCCGGGTCCTACGCCTCATTAGGTAATCCATCACTCACCTTCCTCTTCACTTCTCAAAACAGAAAAACTAACAAACAAAAAACTAGGCAGCAAGAAATAACTGTCATTCAGCAAAACTCTTCACATGTTGGATTCTGAATTCAACAGGAATTAAAAAAGCTACTGTTTAGCTAACTTTTATTAATTTAACCTTTGTGTCCCGTCAACTGCAACTTACCACAAGTTTCAAATGCGCCATTCTGGCGCATTTCCACTACAGCGCAGTTTAAGCGTGCCGTGCCCGGCCCGTTTTTGGTTGCGTTTCCACTAGGCGTAGTTCTAGCTAGCGGGTACTTTTTCACAGTTTTCTGGCTCTCCAAAATTGAGGTTCTTTCTGGGCCAACAACCGGGCTGAGTATGCTAAACTAGTGAGAGAATCTCTGGCAACTACAACAAAATCAACATATTTGACCTTGATTTAATTGTAATACACGTTTAAAAATAATGACGAAGTAACAACATACTGATACCGGTTAGTAAAAACAATGAAAACCTTTTAAAATGCGTGTTTTCCGTCCACACTCATAACAACGGCCTACAGACATAAATAAACCAGCGACAGATATGAGGAGCTGTGAGCTCTGAGTGCTAACGGCTAATGGCTGATGTTGGTTTTGTGTTGCACATTGAAGATGACGTCACGGCTCCGCCTAAACTGCGTTACTATAGTTACTGCCCCAGCTACTAAACTGTAATGGAAACGCAGCATAAAGTGAGCCTGGCCTAACAAGGCCTAACTATACCGTACTAAGCCGGCGGGTGGTGGACGCCCGTGCAGTGGGTGCGAAATGCGCCATAAAGGGAACCCCAGTAGTTCCGGATATAAAAACATCTGTAGGAGGGGAAAGACGAGGAAGGGTCTAGGAATAGTAAACTGCAAGGTGCATGGGGCCTAGTAGAGCGGGCGCGCACGCAAGAGCGAGTATTTGTACTTACGTACGGGCGCGGGAGGAAGAGCTCAAGCAGTTATTCTAAAGCTTCGCCTGTCCCATCGAGAGCGGAAGAATAAAAACACTTTTCTCGTGCATGTCACTGCTTTTACGGCCGAATGAGTTTAATAAATGATGCTGGAGGGCGGTGTCATTGACTGTTGTCAGCAGGGGAACTGGTTAAATCCTACGAGCGGGAACAGCGTGATCTAGATGGTAGTGTGATGAGGCTGAGTGAGGCTCGCACCCAGTGCGAGTAGAGAGACCGCGCAGCGACTTTTTAAGGCGAGGTTTTCACGAGCATTTGTAGAAGCTGAAGGAGTCACGCACATCCCCCACGCAATATATGAGCAGCACTGTAAGGTTCTGTTGCCACGCACAGAGGACGTTCTTCCCCGTAACCGTGCTCTTGTTCAGAGGCCCGTAGTAGACAGATAATGGCTGTTGACTAATGACGATGAGCCCCTGGTCCCCCACTCACTCGCTGCTTTAGTGCGTACTAACGTCTGCCTTGTACGCCACCTCTCCCCCCACTCGCTGCTGCACCGCCTTCATTAAAAACCCAAAAGATGGCACCTCCTTTAAATCGAGGGTAAGACTGTGTGTGTGG